CCTGCTGAATCTGCTGAAGTCAGCTGGAGCTGAGGGTGGTGTGAATTTGCTTCCTTCTAGTCAAATCCATAATCATCTCGTTGAAAAAGTCCAAGTTTTGCTATGGTGATAACAAGCTTTCTGCAGCAACCAGGCTCGAAAAATTGCAAGAAGGGTAACAAATTCAAGTATTTGTGTTGATTTTTACGATTAAATTTCCTTAGCTTTGTTGACGAGCAGCAGAAATACAGAAACTGGCAATTATATGCTACCTTTTGGGTCATCAGGTCTTCTACGTTTACAGGCTACCATGTTGTGGGTATCAGATCCAGAAAAAGCATCTTGAAGAGCCCCCTGTCACACTTCTACAAAACCCATCTGAAGCTCCTGAGATGAGCTGAAGATGGGTTGTACCCAAACCAGAGCATAGCTCAGGGTGACAGCAGAAGGGAAACGGGTGTTCATCTTCAGAGTTCACAGTCAGACTTGCAGATGTGTGTGTAACAACTAAAGATCAGTCATGAAAACAGGAACAGAAGGAGGAAAAGCAGAGTTGGTGCATTATTTCTATTACAGCAGAAGCTCACAGTTGAGTTTTTGGTGCAGGGAAGCTGTGCTGCTCCCTGAGCTGTGTGGGAGAAGGCTGGTGCCCCAACCAAGGAGATGAAACAATGGATGGGATGAAATATATTTAACTATTTCCCCCTTTACTACCAGGAAACTGATTACAGCCACAGTTCTTGTTGAATAATGTCTTTCAGATTTGATGAATGTGTTTGCTGTACCTGAAGATGAATTTTCATAAACAATGTTAGTACACTTATCTTCTTTGAACATTTCTGGAATGTGTCTGCTGAAAAGATAGCGTTAAATTTGCATAGTCAGCAAAAAGGATGAGGTATTTGAGCATAGCAACAGTTTTCATTGGCAGAGAAGTTGATGTGTTGAAGTGTGATGGGTTTTACAGAGCATGTCCAATGCTGGGGGATCTTTTACTGTCACCAGTGTAGGCCACTTTGAAGTATCTGCTGTGAAGCTGGGATGACACATGCCTTTATTTCTGTGTGTGATTTCTGCCTGCTTGGGCTATTTAAGGTTCTAAGGCAATTAAAAACTTCAGTGCAGTTTGAATCAATTCCTTGCATATTCTAGATCTGAACTACTTCCTTAGTTCCAGCACTCCTGCTAAAATAAAATAGCAAAAAAGTATTTCTAATATTTAAGATATTTTTTCTTTTTTGGAAGTTGAGGTCTTGATCTATAAATAATTGGTATCATTTTCAACGTGAAAAGTAAAGGACCTCATAATAGACATGTTTCCTGCCGTGCATCATGGATTTCTTTCTTAGACTTAGTAATACAGGCAATGAGTCTGGAAGAGCTCTGTCTCACCACCCTCCAGTGTTTGGGTCCTATGTTCCACAAGGCTCAGCCCTCACATCCACACCCAGAGATGTTCTGGTCTTTTTGGGGCTTTTTCACTTTTCACACCTCCTTTTCTTCCCAGAGGTTGACCGGGGCCTGGGATATGACTGTCCTACATCCCTTTCATTTTGAAAAGGCCACCACCTCTCCCTTGAATTCCTGTTTTTCCTAGTTTGCGAGGTGCATGACACCCTGCAGCAAACTCCATGTTCACCTGTCCTTGGGCTGGGCTTCCCCTCGTTGTCACCAGTGTAATTTTAACCTGGCACATCACAGTTTTTTGAATAGCTGTCTGTGCATGGCAAGGAGACAATATCTCTGCAGCTTTGGCTGCAGAAAGGCCATCACATACATGCATTGCACAAGGCATACCCAATTTCAGCCTTTATATCGATGGCTTCAGGGTAAAGATTTTTCTTTTGTATGTAGTTTGTTGGTTTTTTTCATTTACTGATCCCATTTACTGAAGAATCTAGTGTGAGGAAATTAGGTTTACAATCATTCATATACTGAGGGAATTTTTTCCAGAGGCTGACTGGATGGGTGGGAACAGGATATTCTGCTAAATCTGTAAATGTTATTTAATAAGTTTCCAATAAAATTGGATGTACAAGGAAACATTTTATCGTTGTCCAACAGCAAACAGGAGAAATACTTGACTCCAGACTGTACGATCCAATTTTTGGAAGACTTATAAATCACACTTGTATTTTGATTGAAGAATTAATGATTCTGGATTCTTCCTTAGCATGAGTTGGACCATGTCTCCTTTTCTGTGTATTTTTTTTTTCCAGGCTGCTGCGGGAACAGTGGATCAGAGCCAAATACGAACGAAAAGAATTCATTCACAGCGAGAAGCAGGAGCCTTATTCCGCAGGTAGCGAAAGATGCTTTTGGCAGATAAGTTTTTTGGTGTCCAGGACCTTCCATTTCTTTTGTCTCTGTTTATTTTTTTCTTTATATTGATTATTTCTCATTCATCATTAAGTAGGAGAAGAAAGTGTGGTCTTTTGGGAAAGACTCCTCCTGGCATTCCTATTCCTGGCATTGAGAATATTGGGAATTTTAATACCTGATGGAAATAAATCAGTTATCAAGAGTCTTTCTGTTGACTTCCATGGGCTGTTCACCAACAGCAAGTCAGATAAAGTACCAGTGAGTTTGTTTCTGATAGCAAGAGGCATGAAGCTGGCTTGAAATGGAGATAAGGGTGTTTGTCTCATCAAGGTGACTTTTGCCTTGGAAAGATGGAGTAGGATTATTGGCATGGTTTGGTTCATGGTAGGTGAGTGTGCCAGGTCCCCCAGTCTTCCCAAATCTCTGTTTCTGTCTTTCCACAATAATTTTAAGTATCACCAGTGGGACCTGGTCTCCTTGTGGTATAATAAACACGGTGCTTTGCAATTGCAAAGACCCAGCGTGTGTGACAGAGCTCATCCCAGCTCGATGGGCAGGGTGCTGGTGACCTTGCAAAGGGCTTAGTGGAGCAGTGGATCGGATGGTTTTCTTGCAGAATGGCAGAATTTGAAGAGGAGACACAGGGCTCGACCGTGTTCATTGTGTGGCTGCACCAGCATAAGGGCCAGTGTGAAAGTGCATTACATTAGCTGAGTATTTCTTTGCTATATGTAAGTGGCATTTAATTTATTCTGCATATTAAGTAGTTGACACCAGCTATGTGCTTGGGTGACTCTGGGATAATTTCATTAGCAAACACCATGTTACAGATGAAAGGTTAAAATATTATTTTTGTTCTTTTGGAGACTAATAATAAGCAGGTAGCTCCAGCAGTTGGCTGTTATTAAAACCACAATTAAAATCTGATCTCATATATTCTTTATTTATGTTTAAAGCATTTCTGCTCTGCTGTTTTGTATATGAGGCATGCACATAGTGTGTGAGGAGCATCCATATTCATGTATAGTACATTGTGCACATTTTTATTCCAGATTTTCAAAGCAGTTTGCTGGAATTGGACATTTTCTATTAACAATAGTTTGATTTCTTAGATAATTTTGGAATATATCTTACAACCTGTGTATAATGTTCACTCAGGAATAATGTTTCTAATTTATACCGTACAATTTCTAGATATAAAAGCCTGGATTCAACTAGGTACTTCAGGCAAATGCATAATTTTAAGCACGTGATTAGTCCTTTCAACTCCAAGAGCGTGTACCTGGTTAAAGTGAAGTAGGTGCTTCAGTGTTGTGTGGGAAGAAGGGCAGCATGTTCTGAGCTGTCTGAGAAATATTATAGGAAGAATTAAAACGGGAGTTTATTTTAGCGGCGTATTTTGTAGGTGTTCTTCAGTAATGTACCTGCATAATATTGAAGTGCATGGTGAAGTGATAGGGTTTTCTCCCCTCTCTTTGAAGTTCAAAAGCCATTAAATGCAGAATAGAATGGGCTAAGCGATTTCAAATGAATGCTCTCAAGAGGAGGAAGGGAAAGGAAGGCGGGCTGGTGAGCATCTTGTAGGCTGTGTATGAGTGGGTTTAGGTTGTATATTGTCTTTGAGAATTGTATCATCATTAAAATCCAGCACTGGAGCCATGTAAATGACCTGTGCAACTGGGATGTCATTTATTGGTTCTTCTGGACAGTAAATTCAAAGGGGGGGCTTTGGCCAGGGCCAGGTCATTCCTCCTTAGGATGACCAGGTTGGTGTAACAACAAAACAAAGCTGGGGACAAACACCAAAATTCCAGTGCCAACTTTTCCCTTCTGATGGACCATAACAGCCCCCAGGTGTGGTTGCACTGCCTGCACTTCATCCCGTGCCAAACGGTGGTCCTTCTTCTAGACTATACGATGTAATTTGGTTGATGACACTGTTTTCAGCTCTTGGACTGTTACACTGGGAGTTGGTTGTTTCCCAGGTTGTGGCTTGAGAAGGGAGCCCAGGGAAAATCCTATGTCCTGTAGGAAAGCAGCACACTGGAGGTCACAGAATCACAGAATCATTTAGGTTGGAAAAGACCCTTAAGATCATTGAGATCAACCTAATGTTATTACCAAGTTCACCACTAAACCATGTCTCTGAGAGATGTTCTCATGTGCATTGGAACGGTTCTTGTATTGCTTGGGTGAAATGGAGGTGTTTTGTCATTGTGTTGTGCGTGGTTCTGGACCACCAGTTTGCCCACCTGGTGTAAATCAGTGCTATTGAAGAGCTGGTCTGAACCACGCCATCTATGAGCCCTCCAAGACAGGCTGGAGCTTGGTGCTTGCAGAAGAACCTCAGTCACACCACGTGTCCTGGCTCTGCCCTTCTCACTGCTTGCAGGGGCCGATACAACTTAATGGCCACGCCAGCAGCTTGGAGGATGCACCCTGCTTGGGGTGGACCTCCTGTGCTTGATTCTGCTGGGCTCAGCGTGGTTGAGAACTGCAGAGGATTTGGGTCATTGCTTTCCACCCCCTGAACTGCCGGTGAACACACCGAGGTGGGACCGACACAAGGATGCCCTCTGGCCCACCCCACATCCAGTTTGTGTCTCACTTGAGTGTGTGTGTCTCTCTTTTTGTTTTTTGTTTTTTTTTTATTTTATTTTCTAATGCTGTCTTAGACCATTTTTTTCTCACCATTCTGAATTCCCTGGAGGGGTGTTAGATTACCAGTTTCTAAGCATGAAACATTTTGTTGCTAATAGAGACGTCAGTATCCATTTTCTCCTGTTTGTTGGAAGATTTAATTCCATTTTCCAATCCCAGGGGCAATTTTGCATTCTGATATTTGTTCAATAATTGCATTAAAAAAAAAGAAGAAAATGCTATCTTTTGAGTAGTTTTCAGCAACGTCTTTTTCCAAGCAGCCTGACGAAACCCTGGTCAGAAATTCAATGTCTTTCAGAAAATCCTTTGGGGAGAGACTGTCTGGAGCCTGTAGATGCCAAGCAGAAGGTATCGCAGCCCAACTGACAGGCTTTGGAGAAATGAGTCTCTGGACGGGGATGTCAGATGTGCAGGTCAGAGCTGAGATACTCATGCAGGGAAGGCTGGCAGGGGGATGCAGCAAACTCTTCAGCTGCTGGTGAAGGGTGTAAGAGACAGTGTGTGCGCTGCAAAGCCAACAGAAGGTTTTGCATAACCCTTGAACCGATGGCGAATGTCTGTCCTGTGAGACACAGAGCGATGGGAAGGAGCAGAACCAGAACTGGGAAACAAAGACACTTTGCACGGGCAGTGCTGAGCGTTGAAGCCAGCTCTTGAGCCTCACCCCAGAGAGGAGCTGTGGTGGGCAGAAGTCCCTGGCACGGGCAGTGCTGAGCGTTGAAGCCAACTCTTGAGCCTCACCCCAGAGAGGAGCTGTGGCTGTAGATCCGTGCTTCTGGTCAGTCCCCACATCAGTTGTCCCCTCTCAGCAGTGTGCTGTTATACTTGTCATGGCCATTCACCCTCAGCAGAAGGTTGCAATGGAAATTCCTGTAAGGCAGTTTTTAGAGAGCTTCTCGCTCTCCCAGGAAGCCTTGGAGCACAAGCCCATGTGCTGTTCACAGCTTTCAGCTCCTCTGCCCCCACTTAGTTGTTCAAACTCTGATGGTTTCATTCCTCCAGAAGAGCTGTCGTTAATGAGTATATTAGCACCATCGATTTTAGTGTGAGGAGTCAGTTTGAGTTCAGATAGTGCAGAGAGATTAGTAAAACAGTGATTAAATGCCTCGGTGATCCACTATCGATTCTTAGATACACCCTTTTATACCTTTGAGCTCTTAATTCAGCTAAATAATTTGTTCACCCCAGCCAGGCTTTATGAAGCAAAACATTATTCACACCCCAGCAATCCCAATTAACACTGTGGTCCATGTCTTTTCCTCTAGTGATATGTTTGTAGCACAACAGCAGAGAATAACACCAGTTTTAAGACCCTCACGTTAATGTGTTTCAGGTTGGTTTTATCCCTTCTGATAAATGAACTGCCTAAATTACTGTCAGTCTCCTGATAATTATTCCTTTTAACGGAGTTTAATGGGGCATGGATGCTGAATTCTCCTAGAAATGGTGGATGACAGTAATTGCTGCCAAAGTCCAAATCTGGATCTTGGGGCAATTGAAAGTTTTGATAATTTTTAAAAAGATTTTGATCAGTTTTCAAAAGCTTGGACATTTTCCCCCATTGTTGATAGGTAGCAGTTAGGGCAACGCTTCCCAAAAGTTCTGCTGAAAGTTAATTCATTTGAGTGCTTTTGATTCCTCTTAATCAAATGGATTTATTTTAATCAAATGGAGTTATTTTAAGTAAGGGAGGTGTGGAGGAAACAAAGGGAACAGTATTTGCAGGGCTGGAGCACTATCATAAACTGGTCAAGGTGCAGCTGCTCTAACACATCTTGGGCCACAGATGAGAGAATGGGACACGCATGTCGCCAAGAGAGAGCAAAGGGGGTCGTTTGCTCCTTGAACTTGGCTCCTGATGAACCCGTCTCGTTACTGCCAGGGTGCCGGGAGGATCCAGTGCCCTGGGATGAGCTGAAGCACAGCCTGGGAGGGGTTGTGGGCAGGGATAACACATCTTTGGGTCTTTGCTTTAACATTAGCTAATGAAGTGGGAGAGCTCTTAACAGCAGGCGTTTAATCTCTTAATGCTCGTCAGGAAAAATGGTTTAACTTCACTGTTAGGACCATGAAAGCAACTGTCCATGGGATGGACATGGCTGGCACAGTTGGAGAAGGCTAATGGGTATCTCCAGGCTGTGCAAAAGCAGTTGCCACCTTGTCCTTGAAGACATTGCCTGATATAGTTCAGCAATGATTTATAGGCTCTTAGACCAGCGTGTAGGCACTTCCCAGCCAGGCATGGAGTAAACTGGGCACCAACAACAGCTTCATCAAGGGCAGCTTTCTGCAACTTTGC